TCTTTTGATAAGGCAATGTGATAATTTGAATAAATATCAGATTCTGAGGTTAATTGTTGTATTTCTAAAATTAACACTTATCTAAAAAATAAATTGGTAAGTGATCTCTACGTTATTCACTCAAAAATTACTATTTTTGAAATTTTACCTATTTAATTATAATGGGTAAAATGTGTCTTAATAAAACACAGTCTGTGTTCTATCCAAAGCATAGTCATTGTCATATAAGTCAGAAATGAAGTATTGCGCAGCACCTGTGGCTCAAAAGGGTAGGGTGCTGGTCCCATATGCTGGCAGTGGCGGTTTCAAACCCAGCTCCGGCCAAAAACTGCAAAAAAGAAAAAAAGGAAATGACGTACCAATACTTCTAATTATTTTAAAAATAAAGGACTTTGGGGCGGTGCCTGTGGCTCAAAAGGGTAGGCCACCAGCCCCATATGCCCAAGGTGGCGGGTTCAAACCTAGCCTTAGCCAAAAAAAAAAAAATAAAGGACTTTGGGGGCCAGGCATGGTAGATCACACCTGTAATTCTAGCCCTCTGGGAGGCTGAGGCAGGTGGATTGTCTGAGCTCATGGGTTCGAGATCAACCTGAGCAAGTGCAAGACCCTGTCTCTAAAAATAGCTGGACATTGTGGGTGGTGCCTGTAGTCCCAGCTGCTTGGGAAGCTGAGGCAAGAGAATTGCTTAAGCCCAGGACTTTGAGGTTGCTGTGAGCTCTGTTTTATTATTTAGTAGCAACAGCAACAGGCTTTGTAAGAGTTAAAGAATATTTAAATGGCATCTAATATGAAATGACCCTGAATTTTTTTTTACAGATGTTTTTGCCCTTGCTTCAGCAATTAAAGAGATGTGTGTGGCAACTCGGAAAGCACGCACTACCCTGTGGTGTGCGCTACAGATGACCTTGCCAAAAACAGCCACTACAGCTGGCCAAGCTGATGTGGAAAAGGCATTACAGGATATAGTAAACTGTGAAGATAAAGTCCATGAAAGCATAAATAGTAGCAATCCAATGAACCAGAGAGGTGAAACAAATAAACATTAAGGAAATGGCAGCAGAACGAAGAATAAAAAGCTGATAAGTAAATATATCAAGACATGCTAAAAATTTTTAATGAACTTGTCAAACTTTCAGTATCTTAATTTTCTTTCAGATTTAAAGTTAATAGCTTAATGAAGTCTAACTTCTATTTAAAAATCTTCTATTTGAAATGAATCACATATAGTTTAAAGTGAACTCAGTGGTGAAGTTGACTACTCTAGGAGTTCTGAGTAGTTAATGATAACAAGTTTGTTTAAATAAATAAGATATTTCCTAACAGCTAAAATATTGCTTCAGACCCATTCTGCAGTGCAGGTAAATGCAAATGTGAAGTTCTTCTAGGAGATCAGTTTCATTTAGGTCTGCCTTAGTAAGTAGAATTCCAAATAATGAATCTAAGTGACTGTAACCCAATTATGGCTACAGTCTAGTAACCAAGACAAGTTTTGATTGTGATATCAAAGTGTTTTCCTTATAAAACTGGATAATACCTAGAAACAAAGGAAAATAAGGATAAACCCAGTATTCATGTAAAAATTTAATATTTAAAATACTACCATATTTATAAATTTAAAATCTTAGTGCCTAAGTATATGGAGGGAAATGCATCTGATTCTCCTAAATTAGTGATAGAAGTACCAGTGTAACCATGAAAGTTACTGAATATAAAACCTGTTCAAATCATTTGTGTATATTCTTTAAAATTTAATTATACTATCAATTATTAAATATTTCCAATTTTAAAGTATTTAAATTGAATCAAAATATTTCCTTTATCTTGATCTTTTAGACTTGATGCACAGTAACTAAAATAATGACTATTGTTTTAATACCCTTAGTTCGCTGCCTTTTATGAGGGTATCACGAAGTTCTAAAATGTATTTTTTTAAGGTTAATATTTAACTAGTTTAGTTTGTAATTGGTTAGTGTATATTTTGTGTAGTTGTGTTCATTAGTTTGCTTCTGTATTTTTTTTTTTTAAAAAGAGCTCTTGAAAGCTTGGCTTTTTTCTGTTTATCATCACTTAATATCTTTGTATGGAACCCGAGTAATTTATTCATTGATATGAAATGTTGGTATTATGTGACTCAGAAGATCTTGGGTTTTAACATTTCTAGCATGAGTTAAACTATAATATAATGTACTGATGAAATTTAATTGAAATATCCTTGACTAGAAACACTGATGTTTTAAATGTTGGTGTTTTTCTTAGTTTTAGAAATCCTGGTATTAAAAAAAAGAGTGTAATCACACCAGATAAATTTTCTTTAGATGATGTGCAGAAGAAACTGATTGAGAATGCAGGAGTAACTGTAGGGAGAAACATTTTGATCACTGATATGCCTTAGAACTACCCAGATGAATTACATTGAGGGTAGTCAAATAAAATAGATCACCTCACCACAGTCACTGCATAGAAAGTGGTTAAGTTTTACATAAGACATGTTGGATGTTATGAAAGCAAATATTGTACTGAATTTAGTCTCTCAGGTAAAAATAAATTACTTTGGTGAAAATATTTGGTTTCACTTTTTTAATGACTGTATAGTTTCTAACCTTAAAGAGTCACTACCTGTCAGAAAATCAGTTGAATTTCATTTAATTGATAAGAACTTGTGCAAGTTTAAATTTCATTATTAACACATAAGTAATAATGTCGGTGGATAAATTGCCATTCAGATTTCCTTGGATCTAACCTGACCTTCAAAAATGAAATTTTTGCTTTGCCTTTATGCTAATCCAAGCAAAGCAGAATAAAAATTCTAAAGAAGCTTTTATATATGGCTTGGTGCCTGTAGCTCAAAGGCTAGGGTACCAGCCACATACACCAGAATTGGAGGGTTCAAACCCAGCCTGAGCCTGCCAAACAACAATGACAATTACAACAAAAAAATAACTAGGTGTTGTGGTAGGCATCTGTAGTACCAGCTACTTGGGAGGCTGAGGCAAGAGAAATGCTTGAACCCAAGAGTTTGAGGTTGCTGTGAGATGTGATGCCATGGCACTCTACTGAGGGCAACATAGTGAGACTCTGTCTCAAAAAAAAGAAGCTTTTATATGACAGTGGTCAGAAAGAAATACCAGTCCATTAATAAAATCCAAACACTTATGAAAAAAAGATTTGACTGGGTAAAGTGGCTCACACCTGTAATCCTAGCAATTTTGGGAGGCTGAGGTAGGATCACTTGAGGCCAGGAGTTCAAGATAAAAAAGATGAATTAATACCTTTTGTAACAATCTACATGAAAGTGAAGTATCTTGGCTCGGCGCCTATAGCTCAACCGGCTAGGGTGCCAGCCACGTACACCTAAGGTGGCGGGTTCGAATCCCCAGCCTGGACCTGCCAAACAACGATGACGGCTGCAACCAAAAAATAGCTGGGCGTTGTGG